GACAGGTTACTTTTTAAATAACTCTCAAATCTGTCTACTTTCTCCACTGCCCCATGCTAATCCAAGCTTCCAGTAACATTCACCTGAACCACTACAATTTTCTCCAACTTGATCTCCCTGTGACCACTTCTATTCTCTGTAATCAGTTCTCCACATGGCGGCCAGAATGACTTTTCTATGAAAATGCTTGCTAAACCCCTACTCAAGCCATTTCAATGGCTGTTCAATATGCTTATGAGATAGAGTCTTGCTCTGTTGCCCAGGCTGGAGTGCAGTGGTATGACCTCGGCTCACTGCAACCTCTGCCTCCTGGGTTCAAGCGATTCTCCTGAGTCAGCCCCCAGAGTAGCTGGGATTACAGGCATGTGCCACCATGCCCAGCTAATTTTTGTATCTTTAGTAGAGACGGGGTTTCACCATGTTGGCCAGGCTGATCTTAAACTCCAGGCCTCAAGTGATCCACCCACCTAGGCCTCCCAAAGTAATGAGATTACAGACCTAAGCCACCGCACCCAGCCCCACTCCTCCCTTTTCTTTACGTGCCTCTACTCATTTGTCTTCTTTTGGTTCTTCATGCCATGTTTTCTTTTGCTCCCTTGCCAGAGATACTCTCTACTCCTCCTCACATCATCTCTTTTTCTTCACATATCAGCGCAATATTTACTTCCTATTTCTGTGCCTTATCAAAAAAAGAGAGTGTAAAACTTGTATAACCCAAGTCAGTCCAAGAGCTTCTGTTCGTGTCCAGGTCACTTTATCTACAAATGATACTTATCTTCTTTTCTTCTATCCAGGGAGACAAGTTCTAAGGTTAGATAGCTTAGATAGGTCTAAAAATTACAGCTATTTATATTGCTGAGAATGAAGGAATGCTAAAAGCCTATTATGTTATAATTACTAGTTTGCAAATGAGGAGTCAAGGCTGTAAGGGACATATGGCCCAATCATTCAGGTGATACTTGAATCCCTTCTATGAACAGACCAAGTACTGATTCTATTGTGAGCACTCTTCCTGTGTTCATCAGATCCAACACTCTTTCAGTGTTCATCTTATTCCTCATAAAGAGAGAAAGAAGAACTAATCCTACTTTTCTGTTGGAATGATAGATTTTTTTTCTGCAAATAATGTCTCCCAATGTATGGTCATCTCACAATCTATATCAGAATTTCTTGATGCTCCACCTATAACGATAGATTATTGAGGACCCGCCCTAGAGTCACTCAAATTATGAGTCATTCATAAATGTACATAGAATGCTCCATCTTGATCATTAGAATTTGCATCAAATACAGTACCAGAGGCCAAAGACCTGAAACAATAATTTCTAGCATATTTACCTTTTTTAACAATGTGCCATTTCTATTGGAAAAGTAAAGATAGTTAATCAAATGCTTTAGTCTTAAAGATTCCATGCTAAGAACTAATGACATTTTTGTTCTTTAAATCTAGGTAGATATTCTCACCACCACCACCACCTAACCACCACTAGCAATCAAAGAGAGGCATTCAACACAGAAATGGTCAAGTACCTAATTGAATAGCTATTAAAAGCTTATTACATGTATATTTTTATTCAATCAATGTTCAGTAAGCACTTAATTTTTTATAAAAACTATGCACTGAATGTCTGTCTTCTCTATGCCAGACTTGTGCTAGGTCCTGGGTATACAGTGGTAAATAAATTGAAATTATTATTGAATTACAAAGTATGATAAATGCTATTAATTAAAAAAAGAAACAAGAGGCTGGGTGCAGTGGCTCACACCTGTAATCTCAGTACTTTGGGAAGCCAAGGTGGGTGGATCACCTGAGGTCAGGAGTTCAACACCAGCCTGACCAATATGGTGAAACCCTGTCTCTACTAAAAATAACAAAAATTAGCCAGGTGTGGTGGTGTGCAACCCATAGTCTCAGCTACTCTAGAAGCTGAGGCAGGAGAATCACTTGAACCAGGGAGGCAGAGGTTGCAGTTGGCTGAGATCACGCCACTGCACTCCAGCCTGGGCGATAGAGTGAGACTCTGTCTCAAAAAAAAAAAAAAAGAAAGAAAGAAAGAAACAAGAGAGAGCATAACACATTCATGAAACAAAAGAATTTTGGTGTGCTTAAAGCAAAAGATGTGAATGGTGAGTAATCAGATTATGAAAGTTTTTGCATGTCATCTTAAGGACTTCAAATGTTAGGGCAGTGAAACAGTGCTAAGGGATTTAAGCAGAGAAGTGGCATAAATGGATTTTTCTAAAGCATAAATCTAGTCACATAATCCTTCATGCAAGAATTGGTCCTCCATCAGAGGTAGTTCTACCTTCTCTGTCAAATATATTCCTCTTTAACAGTACCTCAAAAGGATCCCTTACCTGAGGCTCTATAAAAGTAACAATTGAAATTAGTGTTGATTGCGATCCAAAGAAAAGAATGCACTGTTTTACCAATAATTAACTTTAGTATTGCATATTGTATATAAAGCACATTTATTATGCATATATAATATATATAGTTGTGCACAACAATGTTATGGAACATATGGCTTTAACTACTATTCTCTTAGCCAAGATCTGCTGCAAGGAGATACCCACCCAGGTTCTGTTCTGGGTCGTCTTCTGACATCTGGGTTATTTCTCATCTGTTTTGTTGTCCCATTCTGGTCTATATCCCATTCTAAAACACTTGGTTCCATGCCAATCTGCTCAGTTCCTTATGTCAAAGCTGATAGACTGACTACACAGGGTGTTCAGTCTCTGTCTCCAAAGTCTCTCATAGTTCCCTCTTTGAAGTAAATCTTCCAACTATTTCTATAGCTCTAGCTATTTCTGTTTATATTTAGAACCACACATAACAAATTCCAGAAAGCAGACAATTCAGTTCTATTATAACAAAATTTAGCTCTACTCAAATAAAAGCCTACTACAAAATTACAATGCAACATAACACTAAAATTGCCAGGCAATGATTGTGCCCATTGCATTGGGAAGATTGAGGTATCTAGGAAGAAACATAGTTACTTTTAGGATAAATGATTCCCTGTCGGCTTTCCCTTACCATTCCAAAACCATTACTGGGGACATAATTCCATTCTCTACTATCAAATGTCTCTTGGCAGCAATATCTGGCATCAAATTTGTCCCGTTGTTGGTCAGGCACATTGGCTTACACCTGTAATCCCAGCATTTTGGGAAGCCGAGATGGGCAGATCACTTGAGGTCAGGAGTTCGAGACCAGCCTGGTCAACATGGGGAAACCCCGCCTCTACAAAAAATACAAAAAATTAGCCAGGCATAGCGGCATATGTCTGTAATCCCAGCTACTTGGGAGGCTGAGGCAGGAGAATCGCTTGAACCTGGGAGGCAGAGGTTCCAATGAACTGAGATTGTGCCACTGCACTCCAGCCTGGGTGACAGAGTGAGACCCCGTCTCAAAAAAAAAAAAGAAATTGTTTCATTGCTTCCTCTCCAGAATTTTGCTATGTGGTTATTTCGAGTTTCTTTACATCTAGGGACGTGTAACAGAAGTCCTAAATGGTTTTTTTTTTTTTTTTTTTTTTTTGAGACGGAGTCTCACGCTGTTGCCCAGGCTGGAGTGCAGTGGCGCGATCTCGGCTCACTGCAAGCTCCGCCTCCCGGGTTCCCGCCATTCTCCTGCCTCAGCCTCCTGAGTAGCTGGGACTACAGGCGCCCGCCACCGCGCCCGGCTAATTTTTTGTATTTTTAGTAGAGACGGGGTTTCACTGTGGTCTCGATCTCCTGACCTTGTGATCCGCCCGCCTCGGCCTCCCAAAGTGCTGGGATTACAGGCTTGAGCCACCGCGCCCGGCCTTTTATTTTTTTTATTATACTTTAAGTTCTGGGATACATGTGCAGAACATGCTGGTTTGTTACATAGGTATACACATGCCATGGTGGTTTGCTGCACCCATCAACCTGTCATCTACATTAGGTATTTCTCCTAATGCTAGAGTTAAGTAATCCAAAAGTCAACATCTAATGCTAAAACTTTTAAAGTATTTTATATTTTTAATTTGGCCAGTGAGTTTACATTCCTCCAGTCAAAACCCTCTTCCCTTCTCTACTCTAGAAGTAGAGATAGACAAGTAAGAAGGTACACATGGAGGCAGAAAGAATGAAGGAAAAAATCAAATAAAAAAGGAAAAAGAGAGAAACAAGAACTAACCCTACTTTTCTTTTTGAAAGATAAAGTTTTGCTGGAAATAACGTCTCCCAATGTATGGTCACCACACAATCTATATCAGAATTTCTTGGGGCTCCACCTATAACTACAGATTATTGAGGAACCACCCTAGAGTCACTGACTCAGAATATCTGGGAGTGAAGGCATTTTTAACAAGCAATATTTGTATGCAAATAAAAGATTTAAAACAACTAATATAAATATTGTCTCTATAATGTTTAAGTATTTATAAAGCAATATACCTCATTGCCCTTGTTTCTTCTTTGTAATTTCCCAAGTGGTACTTTCTTCTCAAAGTGACTGGTGTAAAGCTGATAAATGTGTTAATTTACTGAATGACTGCTGTAAACAGAAAAGGTACAAAATAACAGGAATACTTGTCCCTGTGAAGTCAATCATCCAATGAAGAAAAAAGAAAAGCATGAATGAAAAAGACTTAATTAGTATATGAGTAGTATACTGGCATAAAAGCAGATACAATTTGCATCTTTATGTGCTTAGAAAAGCAAGGCTGGCAAGTGGAAAAATCAAGTAGGCATCATTGAATGCCTTACTCAGGGAGATACGGAGTTTTAATGAGGAGTCTGGAATAATGAAGGGTAATTAGAGAGCCACCCCCATGTGGTAAAACAAGGTCTGGCCAAGAAATCGGAAGGATGTCGTAGTCCCAGTTCTACAGTTGTGTGATGTTGAGCTAGTCTTTTATATTTTTAAATTCTGTTTTCTCACTTGCACAATCAAGGCCAGTCTTTATTTGTTTCTTTATGCTCCCACCTCATTTGAGAAAGGGTTAAAGCACAGAAGATACACAAGATTTCTTCTGGAGCGAACATTTGATGACTCTATAACTCAAAACCTCACAACCGCAAAACACAAAAAGGAAATATTAACAAATGCAAATTGAAACCTACTATTGTTAATAGGCAATCACTCTGTGTACGCATCTCATAATTATGAAATTATATAGAGGTAAGATCCGATCAGAGTTCTAAGAGGTTGTATGTTGTCTAGAATTTCTCTGGTGAGCTCTGCCAGGGGCACATCTCTGGTAAAACCATAGGGACCCAATCAGAGATGTTCGTGTGTTTGATGCAATGGTATTTTGCCCAGCAGTTTCTTCATAGCATCTTTGACTTCCTTGTTTCTTAAACTGTAAATTACGGGGTTCAACATAGGGGTAAGCACTCCATAAAGCAACGAGATGATTTTGTCTATTTTTTGTGCCTTTGATGAAGAAGGCTTTAGGTACATAGAGAGGGCAGACCCATGATACAAGATCACCACAGTCAAATGGGCGCCACAGGTAGAAAAAGCCTTGTTTCTTCCTTCTGCTGAGCTGATTCTCAGAATAGTGGAAAGGATGAAGATGTAAGAGATGCAAATTAAGAGCATTGGAATTGGCAAGAGGAGAATGCTGACCACCAGCATGATCGTGTTCACGAGCAATGAACTTGTGCAAGCTAACTTTAGCACCGCCAGAATTTCGCACGTGAAGTGATCGATGAGATTCCCACAGAGGGGTATCTGCAGAGCTAAACTGGTTTCCAGCAGGGCAGTTAGGCAACCCGTCACCCAGGAGACCGTGGCCATCCGTGCACAGACGCACCTGTTCATGATGATGGAGTATCTCAGCGGGTTGCAAATGGCCACATAACGGTCATATGCCATCACGGCCAGGAGTACACACTCTGTGGAGCCCATGGCAAGGGACAGATACATCTGTACAGCACACCCAGAAAGGATAATGGTTTTCTGAGATGACAGCAAGTTCACCAGCAAAGTAGGAATAGAGGCAGATGTGTAACAAATATCCATGAAAGAGAGATTTCCAAGGAATAAGTACATAGGGGTTTTAGGGCGTGAATCTAGGATAGTGATTAAAATAAGAGTGCTGTTGCCCAAGAGGGTTGCCAGATACATTACAAGGCTGAAGACGAAGAGAACCACCTCTAACCTTGGGTACTGGGAAAATCCCTCCAAGAAAAAAATGCTCCAAATGGTGAAGTTTTCTCTTTCCATTTTCTTTCTTTCATCTATATTTATTCCAGTATTACTCCCTTCATTTAACCTGAGGACATAAAGAAATGAATAAAGTGTGAATAAAGTTAGGAAATACTCTCAAACATTTTCACTATTATTATAAATGCAATTTTACTACAAGAAATGACAGGACAGTGTGTTTATTGATGTAAGGGGGGAAGCAGGTTTGATCTATATAAGTTGATTCTTCCACAACAAAATTTAGAAAACAGCAAATTTGAAAAAAACAATATACATATTTAATACTTGAATCTGAGCTCCTAAACCTATCCTTAGCACGCAGTAGGTCTTTAATAAAGATTTGAAAGTGACTGAATGAGGAAAAATATGAATGTACATTGAAGAAGTTATTGAGCTCAAATCAGAAAAGTAATGCAGATAAGTGAGAAAAGAAATGTACAATATGTACATTGTACATTTAATGTACAATAAAATGTACAATAAAAAGCAATATTGATCTTCACTAAAAGAAGAGGAGGGACCTTGAAAGAAGCAAATAAATTTTAGGCCGGGCACAGTGGCTCATGCCTGTAATCCCAGCACTTTGGGAGGCGGAGGCGGGTGGATTGCTTGAGCTCAGGAGTTAGACCAGCCTGGGCAATATGATGGTGAAATCCTACGAAAAATACAAAAATTAGCCAGATGTGGTGGCACACGTCTGTGGTCTCAGCTACTCAGGAGGCTGAGGCTGAGACAGGGAGGCAGAGGTTGCAGTAAGCCGAGATTGCGCCACTGCACTCCAGCCTGGGTGACAGTGAGACTCTGTCTCAAAAAAAAAAACAAAAATTAAACCAACTTCATATGTGGAGGCACTGGGTCTAAATGAACTCTACCCTTTCCAGCTAACAGTTTGGGGGGCTGTACACTGGTTTCAAAAAGGACTACAATGTAGTCAATGCTCGAAGCATTGTAGATACTAATTTGTGATTATATTTAAGAGCCAGCTTATGTCACACAATTTAATACTAACACATTTAATACTAATACATCCACTGTACAATTTCATTCATTGTTGAGCCCCATATCTTTGTGAGTGTGTGAAGAGTTCTAAAAATTATAGCCAGGCAATACATGAAAACCCATATATACAGGAAATGCAGAAACTAAATTCCCTTGGAAGATTACCATAAGATCTCTTTGAAAATAAGATTACAGGCTGGGCGCGGTTGCTCACGCCTGTAATGCCAGCGCTTTGGGAGGCCGAGGCGGGCAGATCACAAGGTCAGGAGATCAAGACCATCCTGTATAACACGGTGAAACCCCGTCTCTACTAAAAATACAAAAAATTAGCGGGGCATGGTGGTGGGCGCCTGTAGTCCCAGCTACTTGGGAGGCTGAGGCAGGAGAATGGCGTCAACCCGGGAGGCAGAGCTTGCAGTGAGTGGAGATCGTGCCACTGCACTCCAGCCTGGTGACAGAGCGAGACTCCATCTCAAAAAAAAAAAAAAAAAAAAAAAAAAAAAAGATTACAGAGCACATAGTTATAAATAAGAACACTGGAATTGGCAAGAGAAGAATGTTGACCACCGTCATGATCATATCCATGAGCAGCGAACTTGTGCAAACTAACTTTAGCACCGCCAGAATTTCACTTGTGATCAATGAGATTCCCACAGAGGGATCGCTGCAGGGCAAAACTAGTTTCTAGCAGGGCAGCCAGAAACAAAGCATTATTTTTTTTCTTACATTTCACATTATTAACAAAAAATTACTACAGAAAACTTACCTTGCTTCTTCACTCATATTGCCTTTTAATAAACCTTCAACCGTTTTCTTTCTCCACTGAGTCTTTCGTATTTTCAAATACAAATGTCCTTAAACATTGCTTTCATCTTACAAATTTCTCTGCCAAGTTTTAGATTTAATAGATTTCTCTAATAATAAAAAATTATTAGATTATTATAAAGCATTACTTCGAAGAAGCTTAATTTTTGTGCCACTGTTAAGACTAACAAGCATAAAAGTTTTTAAATGAAAAAAATCAGCCCAGTTACCTGAGATCTGATCTTTTCTGTTATTTAAAAAGTATTTAGTAGTAGCCAAGAAGAATTGGCCCTCCCATCTGAATTCCCTGTCACCGACTTCAAATAAAATGTTGTTTTATGATGCACTTCATAAAGTTAACTATGTCCAAGAAATAATAAATTAATTCACTTTTTAAAATGTTAAATGTTATGTAGAAAACAATAGTGCAATTCATTTCTTTCAAAATTGTTAACTCTTACTGCCATAACTAAAAATATCAAAAGATAGCAACTGAAATATTAGGCAAATTTAAATCATTTGTTGTTTTGGGGGAATACCTGTTGTCCCTGAACAATTTAGAGTTCAGCAGTTAAAATATACAGAGGTTTGAAACTTCAGATCCTTCAGGGATATTGTCCCAAAGATCCAATTATATCAAACTTTTAAAAAGTCAAATAGAGAGTGAACCACACAGTTCCTCCAAAATACTTTGGAAAACTCAGAAAACAAAGTTTTCTATTTGCTTTCTTCTTGTCAATCCTTAGCTATGTCAAGATTTTTTTATGAATGATTTCAATGTAGAATACTTAACAGAATACAGAGAAAAGATGTCCCTAAAATACATTTTGTGCAATTGTGAATTTAATTCCTGGTTTTCAGAAATTAGGGAAAGAACATTTACTTTTTAAAGCCGCAGAGAAATCACTGACTGCCCCAACAAGTGATCAGAAATGTTATTCAGTATACCCATACTGAGAGGATTGCAAAGCAATGAAACGTCGGTAGTAATGGGCACGTCCTAGATCTTTGTTTTGTTTTTGAGACAGGGTCTGGCTGTGTCACCCAGGCTGGAGTGCAGTAGCATGATCTTGGCTGAGTGCAGTAGCATGATCTTGGCTCACTGCAACCACCGCCTCCCAGGTTCAAGGGATTCTCCTGCCTCAACCTCCTGAGTAGCTGGGACTACAGGCATGTGCCACCACGCTGGGCTAATTTTTGTATTTTTGGTAGAAACGGGTCTCTACCACGTTGGCCAGACTGGTCTCAACGTCCTGAGCTTAAGCAATCCAGCCACCTCAGCCTCCCAAAGTGCTGGGATTACAGGCGTGAGCCACCATCCCCGGCCCCAGATATTAGTTTCTAAACACCATTCTCAACTAGCAGGAAACATGGCTCCTTGGAAAAATGACTAATACCAGAGCTAGGATATGGAAAGAACAAGATTAACTTAGTGTATCTTATCGAACAAGAAAATAAGAAATATGCAAAGAATGGTAGAGATATAGCAAAGGGTCATAGACACCCACTTGGTGAAGCTCCCATTGCTAAATTTAGGACAGATTATTTGAAGCATCAAAATAAAAATGATAATTGATCATAATTCATAGAATAATATAAAAATGTACGTATTCATTATGATGTAAATAAATAGAAATAGGAAGCTCTTCCTCACAGTAGGATGCCAAAAATTATAAATATAGAGGAATGATGTTAGAAAATAATCAATCACAGTTAAGGGTTTTGTAGGCAATAGATTACCATAGGTAAAATGATGTATTAGGTTAATGTAGGCAGTGTCGTTGTTGAAGGTAAAAGTTGGATGAACAGAGTATTTACATGGTGTCAAAATATCTCACCACAAATTACTTAGTAAGTTTAAAGATAAAATAATAACTTTACGGTGGGGAGGCCTGAAGGGTAATCATGTTAACATCACCAATATTGGAACAAATAGATTCCATGTACATTCTGATACGAGGTACTGAGAACACATTATCACTTCTGTGGTATTCCCATCAAAATTAAATCACCAGAATCTAACCATGAGTGTAAACCAGACAAACCTAAATGTAGGGATATCATGCAACATAATCAGTCTATACTTTCCAAAAGTACAGACAATTCTCAAAAAATGATATACAAATGGCCACAATAAATATGAAAAAATGCTCAACATCATTAATTATCAGGGAAATGCAAATCAAACCCACAGTGCAGTACCACCTTACTCTTGCAAGAAGGGCCTTAATCAAAAACTAATAGATGTTGGCACGGATGGGATGAAAGGGAAACACTTTTACACTGCAGGTTGGAATGTAAACTAGTACAACCACTATGGAAAACAGTGTGAAGATTCCTTAAAGAACTAAAAGTAGATCTACCATTTGATCTAGCAATCCCACTTCTGGGTATCTACCCAGAGGAAAAGTCATCATACAAAAAAGATACTTGCACACATATGTTTATAGCAGCACAATTCACAATTGCAAAAATATGGAACCAGCCCAAATGCTCAACAATCAATGAGTGGATAAAGAAAATGTGATATATATATATATATATATATATATACACACACACACACACACATACCATGGAATACTACTCAGCCACAAAAAGGAACGAAATAATGGCATTTGCAGCAACTCGGATGGAATTGGAGATCAGTATTCTAAGTGAAGTAACTCAGGAATGGAAAATCAAACATCCTATGTTCTCACTCATAAGGGGGAGCTAGGCTATGAGGATGCAAAGGCATAAGAATGACACAGTGGACTCTGGGGACTCAGGGGAAAGGATGGGGGACTAGGGGACAAAAGACAACATATTGGGGATAGTGTACACTGATTGTATACCAAAATCTCAGAAATCACCAATACAGAACTTATCCATGTAACCAAACACTACCTGTTCCCCCAAGACCTACTGAAATAAAAAAGAAGAAATAATAAAATTGAAAAACTCCTAATTTTTTAAAAAAAGTGTCACAATCAGGAAACAAAAAGAAAAACCAAGAAAATGTTCCATACCTGAAAGAGACAGGACAACTAAATACGATGCATGCCCCAGCATTGAATCTTTTTTTTTTTTTTTTTTTTTTTTGAGACAGAGTCTTGCTCAGTCACCCAAGCTGGAGTTCAGTGGCGCAATCTCAGCTCACCGCAAGCTCCGCCTCCCGGGTTCACGCCATTCTCCTGCCTCAGCCTCTCAAGTAGCTGGGACTACAGGCACCCGCCACCACACCTGGCTAATTTTTTGTATTTTTAGTAGAGATAGGTTTTCACCGTGTTAGCCAGGACGGTCTTGATCTCCTGACCTCATGATCCACCCGTCTCGGCCTCCCAAAGTGCTGGGATTACAGGCGTGAGCCACCGCGCCCGGCCAGCATTGATATTCATATTCTATGAATATCAAATTTCCTGGTCTTGATGACTGTACTGTGGTTATGTAAGATAATGCTCTTGTTCTTAGGAAATACAGACTGAAGCATTTAGTGTTAAAAGGGCAAAATGTCTCCAATTTACCCTCAAATCATTGGTAAAAATTTGGTTTTTAAAAATTATGTGTGGAGAGAAGATGCACTTATTGCCACATTTTTTTGCAAGTCATGCAGCCTCCATATTTTCTGTGTTCTTATGACAGCTCATTTACTCTGGATCGCTGATGGCAAATTTCCAGAAAGAAGACCCTCAGAAGAACTTGGTCCTACCATATGAATAAGCAAATTGTTTCCTTCTTAGGAAAAGAAGGAACAACAACTATATTGAATAATATAAACATATAAAACAGAGCTAATTAAGTGGTAGGATTATATTTGGGGGATAATGGGCTACAGTAGCCCATAATAGCATGAGCTTGGAATAGTGAAACTGGCTAAATCCAATAGGCTTGTTTGATTGTAAAACATACGAAACATGATAGCTAATGACTTGAAGTTTTAATAATATTAATCTTGAAACTTTATTTTTCTAAAAGTCAGCACTCACAACAAATCCCTCCCACCACCATACAGCAAGACAACAAGAATTTTAGAAGAAAATTGACAACGAGATGACCGTCTATGGAGAAAATCTGAAAGAATCAACAAAAAACTGCTGGAACTAACAATAAGCAATTCCAGTAAGGTTTCAGGAAACAGGGTTAATGAACAAAAGTCAATTGCTGTCCTGTATACAAGCAAAAAAGAAATGGAATTTGCATTAAAAACACAACATTGTTTACACTAGCGTCCCTCCCCCACAGTGATATACTTGGGCATAGATCTAACAAAATATGTGCATGATCTATATAAGGAAAACTATAAAACTCTGATAAATGAAATCAAAGAAGATCAAAAAATCAGCTCTTTCCAAACGGGCCTGGCAAGATGGCCAGATAGGAACAGCTCTGGTCTGCAGCAACCAGCGACATCAACCCAGAAGGCAGGTGATTTCTGTATTTCCAACTGAGGTACCCGGTTCATCTCACTGGGACTGGTTAGACAGTGGGTACAGCCCAGGGAGGGGAGCTGGAACAGGGTGGGGCGTTGCCTCACCTGTGAAGCACAAGGGCTTGGGAAACTCCCTCTGCTAGCCAAGGGAAGCTGTGAGGGATCATATTGTGAGGAATGGTGCACTCCAGCCCGGATATTGCACTATTCCCAGTCTTTGCAACCTGCAGACCAGGAGATTCCCTCGGGTGCCTACGCCACCAGGGCCCTGGGTTTCAAGTACAAAACTGGGCAGCTGTTTGGGCAGACACCAACCTAGCTGCAGGAGTTTTTTTTCAGACCCCAGGAACCCGGAACCTGGCACCTGGAACACCAGTGAGGCAGAACTGTTCACTCCCCTGGAAAAGGGGCTGAAGCCAGGGAGCCCAGTGATCTAGCTCAGCAGATCTCACCCCCATGGAGCCCAGCAAGCTAAGATCCACTGGCTTGAAATTCTCACTGCCAGCACAGTAGTCTTAAGCCAACCTGAGACGCTCAAGCTTGATGGGGGGAGGGGCGTCCACCATTACTGAGGCTTGAGTAGGTGGTTTTCCCCTCACAGTGTAAACAAAGCCACCAGGAAGTTCAGACTGGGTGGAGCCCACCACAGCTCATAAAGCTGCTGTAGCCAGACTGCCTCTCTAGATTCCTCCTCTCTCGGCAGGGCATCTCTGAAAGAAAGGCAGCAGCCCCAGTCAGGGTCTTATAGATAAAACTCCCATCTCCCTTGGATGGAGCACCTGGGGGAAGGGGTGACTGTGGGTGCAGCTTCAGCAGACTTAAACATTCCTGCCTGCCAGCTCTGAATGAGCAGCATATCTCCCAGCACAGCAATGGAGCTTTGCTAAGGGACAGACTTCCTCCTCAAGTGGGTCCCTGATCCCCATGCCTCCTGATTGGGAGACACCTC